TTTTTTTTTTTTTTTTGCATAAAAATTTGGTAACTTCTATGAAACACTAGAAGCCTTGTATGTGTGAAGCTACAGTTTAGGCAAATGGTACTAATGTTAATTTTGAATGATCTTTATCTCATAAAGCAGTAACCTACTGTTAGATCCACAGAAGATGAATAAAATATTGCCTGACAACTATTTCCTTACTGAAAATTTTCATAATGCCATCAAATTAAGACACTCAGTATTCATAAATTATCACTATTTCTGAAGAAGTATAGGAACCTTATCCTCTCACAGTAAACTTCGATATTAGAAGCAGAATACTGTACCTAGTGATATCATCAAAGACACCATATCCTGCTTTCTTATCCATTACCCACTGGCCAATGAACATACTGGGAGAAGAGGAAGTCAATTTCCCACTTCGCAGGAGACCATGACCATGACGCATGTTATCTTGAAAACAGCCCTCAAACACTTCACCAGAGGCATAACTGTGGTTGGAAAGAATGAATAAGTATCACACGCCATTGAATTCTGATGTTTTTACAAAGTTTAGGAGATTCAAAACTGTATCTAGTTTCACTGGTACCTATAATTATTTATTAGCTTATATGATTATTTTTCACCAGTCAAAAAAATCTCACCTTTGAATGATTAAGTCTAAGAAGTTAAAGACATGATAGATGTATATTGCATGAACATGGAGAAAAAAATGTGTCCTTAGTCCCCTATGACAGGAAAGAATAAAAAGTTCTACCCATTAGAATCAAGTGATAAAAATAAGATAAATTTATACATAAGACACATAGGAGACTCTATGAGAAAGGTATGGTTTGTAGTTTGTATAATTTAAATAAAAACTAAGTTTAATAACCTAATTTTTTCATCTTGTGATAGATGAGGAGTTAATCTTTTTTGACACAGAGACTCACTATGTTGCTCTCGATGGAGTGCTGTGGCATCACAGCTCACTGCAACCTCAAAGTCCTGGGCTTACATGATTCTCTTGCCTCAGCCTCCCAAGTAGCTGGGACTATGGGTGCCCACCAGAACGCCTGGCTATTTTTTTGTTGTAGTTGTCGTGGTTGTTTTAGCAGGCCTAGGCTAGGATTGACCCCGCCAGCCCATGTGTATGTGGCTGGTGCCCTAACCACTGAGCCACAGACATCTTTTAAAATAAGACCTCCAACACAGAGTTTCAGACATTAGATGAATAAACAAAATATAATCCTTGAAAATTTTAGTTCCACAAACATTTAGGTTTACATGGTTCTGTGAAAAAGTAGTACCAGTCTAATGTTATTACCTATAGACTCCTTGACCACACATTTTTCCTTCTTTCCAAAGGCCCACATAATGATCTTCTTTGTTCATTGCCTTGTTTGGGATTCTGTATTCTCCATACCTGCCGAGAAAAATGGAAAACATCAGAAAATGCTTTTATGACATATTCAGCTTTTATATTTATATATATCATTAAACATTTTAACAAGAAAGATACAGAAAAGATTTACCTTTTCCATATCGGACTAAATGGACTCTTAATTTAATCTGAATCTATTACCTAAGCTGTTTGGCAAGTCTTAGAGGAGTGAGACATCAACCCCACTACAAAGAGAGATTAGGTATTTTTCCCCAAGCCCAGTGAAAAAACAGAAGCCCTGTGTCCTGGGCTTAGCTCTGTCACTAATTAGCCACATCACCCTAGATAAACCCAGGTATGCAGATACCTTATCTGGATAATAAGGGGCATAAAGCAGATTATCTACAGTCTCGTCTCTTCTAAAAACTCCATTAAAAAGACATTTTAAGATATTATGAAAATTTACATTATCACATAGAAAAAAAATTACCTTTACCTACTCAATTATATATCTTTTTAATATAGTAAAATAAATTACTTCTTTATCATGTTACAAAATACTTCACTGCCATAAATTAGTGGTGTAAATATATTTGCAGTGTTAGAAAACATGACAAGCTTATACAGAAATAATGTCATTAGAATGTCATTAAGCTATAATTCAGAAGATGTCCCCTTCAAAACTCACAGAAATTAAAGATGATTTAATAGTACAGAAAGGGAAATTTCTCAATGTCCTTTGTGTAAAGGAGGCACTGCTGTCTCAACAGTTTCAACATCAACATTACCCAAGGTTCTCGATCTTCAAAACTTAGAAATGGATAGAAAACACAATCCTATTTTAACAGTTGAAAGACTGAGTTGAGGTCACACAGCTATCAAGGTAAATACTTGGTAAATCAGAGGCTGCATCCCAGACTCCTACCTCTCTTCATGCTCACACGTGTGTGTAATAAGCCTTACCATGTTGCACGCATTTCTAAAAAACAACACAAAACCCTACTACTTGTCTGAAAAGTAACTCTAAACACAAACTAATACAATGTGACTGAATTTACTCTCATATTTTATGCAATTTTCTTACCCATCTTCCAAGCCATTCCTGAACATGCCAGAATACATCTTTCCATCAGGCCACTTCAAAACCCCTCTGGAATGCAGAGACAAAGAATAATGCATGTTAACTAATGTTTCAGATAACCAATACTTCTTCTATAATGTGACTGTCACCCTCAACCCAGACATAAATGTGAAGCATTTTCACCTGCCATGAGGCTTCCCTGAAAGCCAGCGTCCGTCATAGGTTGCATCCTTGAGGCGAGGATCCTTGTAGAAAGTATATTTGGCACTGCGTGAAATGGGTGGTTCCTGCCTCTGAACACTGCTCCCACTTCCATAAGGTGGAAGATCAGATGTCCCCCTCAAAGCCTGATCCACAGCTTGGCTTATGGCCCGTAGCCACTTAGTCTAGGAGCAAAAGGTATATGTCAGTAAATGAAGGCAACAACTCACCAAGCATTGCTTTAAATCCTGCTAGCTTTCCTAGGTGTAAATAATTTTTCTGTCTCCTAATGTTTTTTCTTACTAATTAATACTGATTAGCTTTTGGTTTTCGCTATTATATGTTTAAAATTAAGTCACGTTAAAAGAAACAAAGACCTATAATTTTGCTTGAATGATAATTTATCATACTCATTGTGAATCATTAGTAAACTGAGAACAACTTTTATGTCTTCTTTATTACCACCAAGAGGCAGAACGAGCCAGGCCAAAGAGTGAAAGAAAATACCACAACGGACTAACCTTTTCCTGGGGTGTTGATGAAATGAGAGTGAACTGCTCCTCAGGTGTGGTTATCTTTAAGCCATTCCTAAAACGTTCACAAGGATAAATACCAGTGGGTATGACAACCTGCCATTACAATATCAATCCTCAAATATGAAAAGCAACCTGTCTACTTGCAGAGGAGCAGAAGTCAATTAAATATAAATGCTTACGCTCTGGACTTGGGTCTCACAATGGGGGAAAGGGAAGAGAAACTCTGCTCAGTGTTGAATAATGGGAGTGAAAAATAGAGATGCCTTTCCACCACCTTTCATGATTTGCCATGATCTTCACAACAGGCGATTTTGATGGACAGGCCATTTCACTACCTAATATGTTGGGAGGTGAGTCTCATTATGCAGAATGGAGAGGCAGCCTCACAAGCTCTCCTGAACTTTTTATGTAAATAAAAAGTACATAAGTAAATAAACTGGGGTACAAAGGGAGAGCAGTTGAAGTTGTGGGGTAGGGAGAGGGGTGCACTTACACACCACCAGCTTCTTCAGACAGTGGCTCCGCCCACAGCGTGGCCAAGGGGAAAACATGGTGCGTGGAGAACTGAAACAGAACAAGGAGGCAAGGTCTACAAAATCCCATGTTGTTCTGGGGGTCTCTGCCGCATCCCCCTTATGGCATTAATCTACACAGGTCTTATAGTTTCTGCTGCACAACCCCCTTGAAATGGCTACGTCCAGGTAGGTGCCACCATCTCTGTCTAATAGTCCCCATAACATAGCTCCCCCCGTGGGCCTTGCCATCTCTGTTGTGGGGCCCCCTCCATATGGCTGACACTCATTCTCAAACTAGAAACTAAAAATATAACTCTCTGAAATCCAGCACATACCACGAATGCAAGCTGTGGCTAAATATTCTCTTTTATTTAATAGCTTCAGCAAAACCACAATAGTTTTTGAACACAAACTGATGGTATAACTAATTAATAAATATAATATTCTACCTTTCAGGGCCTCTTTTAAGGTTAGGAATCCAGCCTACCTGGGCATGGACCAGGGCATCATTAAAGAGAATGAACCAATTCACAGAAAACCTCCCAGCATGCTGCAGAGACAGGGCTCGGTTACTGCTCTCACACAGCAGTCGACGCTCTGGCTTCCTCAGGGAATCCTAGAATTAAAAGCAAAGTCAAATAATCACTATTATTTTAACATGCAAAGAGAAAGTGAGACAGGCACAAATCACATTTAGGGGAATTTGTTGATCACAGCTTAGCTTGGTGTTCAAACTAAATTTAGATGGGATCCAAACACTTCATAAAATTAGAGCTTAAAGGAGATTAGGAAGAAGTCAGGAATAAACTAAAAAGGAGGTGTGGCAAGTCTTCAGAGAGGATTTCTAGAAACGAGAGAAGGTGTTGATATTTAGAGCACCTGCTGCTATGGTCCTTAGACATTTTAGGAAACAGGTCATTAAAATAGTACCATAAATACACGAGGAACAGAGAAAATTATGACAATTGTTAAGGAAATGCTTCTTGCTTACTAAGGTAACAAATCACAGGCATGGTTTACCGTCATTTTTCCAGGAAAGGTCTTCCAGAAGCCCAGTGTGTATTCTGCTTCCTTCCTTTTCCTGCCGAGATGGAGAGCAAGAGACTCATAACAAGAACTGGAATCCTGAAGTTTCTGATATTCTGGAGATGTCTAGAGGCCAATAATTAAAGGGGAAAAGAAGAACATAAAACAATTGTCCAGAATCTGTGGACTCAGTGTAATTTCAATACGCAGTACTATATTCAGGGAGAAAATTCAGCCAACTTCCCATTTCATCACACATAACATTAAGAAGATGTATCCTGGCTGGGTATAGTGGCTCATACCTGTAATCCTAGCACTCTGGGAGGCCAAGGTGGGACAATTTCTTAAGCTCAGGAGTTTGAGGCCAGCCTGAGCAAGAGTAAGACCCTATCTCTACTAAAAATAGAAAAAACTAACTGGCTGTTGTGGGAGGCACCAGTAGTCCCAGCTGCTTGGGAGACTGAGGCAAGAGGA